ACCATCAAGACGCCTGCCATTTGATATAAATAAAATAAATTAATATTTCAAAAGATATGGCTTTTGGAGCATAAGATGTATTCAAATTAGACCAAAGATATCGCATACGTGCCAGAAAAGTATGGAAAGTCCTGTAGACGAGCAAAAGCTCCCAGCTAATCAACAATCGAGTTATGCACCGTAGAACAATGTTTGTGGTATTTAATGACTCAGCGTGTTAATAGCTTTTACTATGTATGCAAATAGTTCTCTACACTTTATGCATTCTGTGATCCCATTTCTTTGAGCATAGCCAAAGGAATTTCGGGAGCGAATCAATACAATGGGGAAGAATGTGTATTAGTGTTTGTGCAGAATTAATTGCAGCTATAGAAGAAGTCGACAAATTAATAACTTCTTTGGGAATGAAATATAGATGCTGAGAACATAAGTAAATAATAAATGAGAATTCCCGGCACAATACATCCCAGGTTTTTACCAAAAACATCAGAGTGCTTCAAAAATAACTAACCGTTTCCCATTTGTTTCATATAACGTATAATCCGAAAATTGTAAATTAAAACCTAGTTCCTAAGCATATGCTACGTTTAAGCTAATCTTTAAGTTTCTTGGGTTTACATATATTACGTGCTCAGCTTGAATCTTATTATCCACAAATACTTTAGAATTGTCGGGTTCTCGTAAAATATTTAGTACAAAACGAAATTTGTTGCTTATTAGTGCAATTTTAGTAGCATGACAGATAGTAGTGATATTAAGTTACAATAAAAAATCAAGGGACCTTGAACACAGCTTCTGAATGAATTTATGATAAATGAGATTAGAGACTGCCAATAAGGCTATTTCAGTTTGTGGGACACTTCATCAATGACCAAATAGAAATCCTGCTACAGAATACTACTCAGAAATATTTAGCTATTAAAGTTCACCTGAATTACGCTAGAGTTATCTGATAACTGATCGCTTTGCCAAAACCAACACTTCGCTATCAATATACGTACCGAATAAACGTATTCCGTGCTACACGTCTGTTTCCCTTATAGCTGGGCTATAGCTTAGCTTATTCTGGGAGTCTAGCTAGATGTAGGAGAATCTGCCACAGATATAAACGCGCTCCGTGCTACACGTCTGTTTTCTTTATAGCTGAGCTATAGCTTAGCTGTTCTCTAGCTAGAGGTTGGAGAATCTGCCATAGAGATTTCTGATTCCTAGCTAGATGTTGGAGAATCTGCCATAGAAATTTCTGAGCCGGTAGCTAGATGTTTGAGAATCTGCCATGGAGATTTCTGAGTCGGTCTAGCTAGATGTTGGAGAATCTGCCATAGAGATTTCTGAGTCGGTCAGGTTTTACTAGCGTAGCGATCCGCTACAAGTTAAGAATTGATAGCAGACTGTACAAGAAAGGTAACTGATAATGGACATTTTAGTTGGAGTGAATAAATGACACTATGTAAATTCTTACCTATTGATAATTTAACCAACGAGATTTACATTTCGCAGTGCAACCACGATAATACCATCTTTTATATTGGTTTCATATTCAAAGATTTGACTTATGAAATTTGGGCCCTTTTAACTAATGACCTCTTAACCAAAGTCACGCTTGAATGAAATGTTGTTCATATAAAATTTAGATTCCCTGTGGATAATCATATTTTAGTGTATGGTATCACTAAAAGTTAATTGAGTGCTTTAAAAAGTTATTTTTCCAAATTGTTTCATCTGACCTTAGATTATTTACTGTTGAGACTTGTAGTACATTTACTAGTCGAAGACATTGGACGGTGGTGAGAATTATCAAGGCAATTTCGTGCTACCGCGCTCAAATTTTGCTTTTCAAAAATTAACTATGCCTCTCCATTAGCACTAGTTTCAGGTATATTCTAACTTATACACACTTTTCGTGCCTATTACTGAAAATGCTTAGCCATTTTCAATGAATTTCCAAAGATGAACATAGCTGTTTAGTAAGGAAGTAGTCATAAACACATCAATTTGTCTCCGTAAGTATAATGATAATAATGCTTTCTTGATATGAGATATTGCCAGTGTGTGCTAATGAGTAATAGGATTTGATCATCTAGCATCACTTAACCTGTGCTCAGAATGAATTCCAGATTTGTCCACCAAATCGAATAACTTAAGCACTAAACTACAATTTGTAAGACAGCTTTAAGTTTCGAGATGGCACAACATATCAGTGCTCTTTTTGAAATCAAAATTTAAGCAAATTCCATATGAAAAAATAATACTTCCGAAACTATTTGCTTGCCTCAAGTTTCACGAAGTCGATTTGAATAAGATCTACCTAATTATGAAGTAGTCCTATATTTATCCAAACAGTAGAAAGCGAAAGGAAGAACGAAAAATGTAAATATTTGGAATAACTTGAACCTTATACAAGAAGCCAATCAACAAATCTCAGATCTTCTATTGATGGGTCTGAGTCCTAGTTTAATATACTTAGTTTCTAGGTATATATATATATATATATATATATATAGGGTCATGAAAATATTATCCCTCTTTATTTAGAGTAGAATGTGAAGTAAGTTAAATAAAATGTTAAATGTAATAATAAATATTGGAAAAGAACATAATCATAATATATATATTATGTGATAAATATAAACCTAATCATATTAGACTCAAAAGTCTTCAAAGAATAATCCCATATTTAAAAAGTAAAATACATATGTTCAATTATTACTCTGTTTGATTGATTAGATATTTGATTTAAAATGTGTTATTTTTTGTAACATAAATTAACTCGAAATAGCTTTCAGATACAACCTTGAAATCCTTACTTTTGGTTAGTTTAATAGCGGTATACTGCAAATAATCTTTCCTCATTGCAGGTTGGTGTGACTCTATGGGTGACTTAATTAAATATGCTCTAATACTTACGATCACGACCAAGCTAATGTTTTGATTAAGCATTTATTTTAAATAAATTTCATGCTTCTTTAGATAGTACTTTAGATTTTATAGCATTTGATTGTGCATATTTTTAGATCCTTAAACATCGTCGCACATGGTAAATGTCCGAACAATCTAAATGTCCGTATAAAGGTTCTGAAGGGAACTCATCGTTTCCTTCGGGATGTCCTGTTTTGAGATCCGAAGGGGACTCCATTAACCCACTGAACATGGTATTATTCGCTTCTTTGCATTTACCCTTACAGTCATTTTTTGGCTTTATTAATATTTATTATGTTTATTTCCAGATGCCAAAAGAAAACCAAAACCCCAGTCCTGGCCAACCATTCAGCCTCTCTACCGAGCGAAAGGTTTCCAGCATCCCCAAAGCAGTTGTAAAAGAAAATGAGAATCCTCATTGGGTTTATCCTTCAGCACAGATGTTCTGGAATGCCATGCTACGTAAGGGGTGGCGTTGGAAGGATGATCAAATTAGTCCAGAGGACATGGACAACATCATCAACATTCACAATGCTAATAATGAAGCTGCATGGATGGAGGTGCTAAAGTGGGAAGCCATGCATTACAAGACTTGTCAAACTCCTCGACTTCGTAGTTTTGCAGGCGATGCAACAAAATACTCTCCTCGCGCCCGTTTTAGGCATTGGCTGGGCTATGAACTCCCTTTTGATAGACATGACTGGATTGTAGATAGATGTGGCCGTGATGTCCGTTATGTTATTGACTACTATGACTCGCAAAAGGTTGATCCAGATTATAATTTTGCGCTTTTGGATGTTCGGCCGGCTTTAGACTCATTCTCTGCTTTCCGAGATCGTCTCAAAGTTGCATGGATGCGGTGGCGTTTCCCTGATCCTCCTCCCAAATCCTCGTCATCATTTTCTGGTCGTGAATAGGCGCTTTTTATTATTAAGCGCAAACTGTAGTCAGGAAAGATTTATGTAGAGTACTTCATGCCTTTGAAAATTTCCTACGATAATATGCATATTTACTTATCACTGCCCTTTTTTCTTATTTATTCCAAGTTAATGTTATTTGTAACTGGATCTAAAGTGTTTGAGAGTTGTTGTTTGTCGTAATTTTTAATGAGTCACTAATAGTGTTAACACATCTACGCAGTGGGTTTCTCTTCAGCCAAATTTGCCGTGTGTATTTATGATATTTATTTATTTATATCAAATGACAGGCGTTTTGATAG